TGTGCTCTGATCAGATATGTCCCTCTCCCGGAGCTGCATATTCAGTGCCGTCCTTTGACATAAATTATTCTGGGGGAGGTGTAGGTGTCCTCGTAGTAGTTGGGATTGGGGCCGGCCCCTCAGACCTCTCCACTGGTTCCCTACTCCATGCTGGCATGTTGCATTCAAGCCCATTTTATTTTTATAAATTCTCATTTTCCATACAGCATGATGCCACCTGCCCTTTTGCCTTGTTTTTTCCAAAGTATAAACACCACCACTTCCCTCCCCCCCTTAAGCAAGGGGCTCGAGGGTGAGTTAGGCTCTAGCTGCCCCTTGACCGCCAGCTAATAAAAGCTTATTCACTTTAATTAAAGTTGCATGTGGGTTAATTGATCTCTGGTACTGCATAAACCATATGCTTTTCTGATTCAAAATGACCCCTCCGCTCACTAAAACCTAGGATCTTTATGCATTCTACTTCATTTTGACAACTACCAATTTTCCTAGATTCATACTTTGTACATTCCAAGTTCTAATTATTAGATTGTTGCAGCTGTTTCTTCTTATTCTGAGTTGTGCTTCATTAGCAAGTGAAGGTCATAAAGCTTTACTCTCCCATATGGGCAACTGTACTTTCACAAGCATCTTCCTGAGTCACAGTTTCAATGCCTTTGGACCTGAAGGGGCTCATCTCTTGGGACTATCTCCAGCGATGGTTTGCTTTTACCCATTAGGCCGCCCGTATCTGACAATGTGTCCATAAGATTTTCATGACTATTTCCTCCCAAGTGGACAGCCTATTCCTTCTTTTTAGTCTGTTCTTAGTCTGGAAGAGCCACGGAAACCTGTTCACTTTGGGCGACCCTGCTGGCATTTGAAATACCAGGAACATAGTTTCTGGAATCACAGCAACACACAAGCCACCACAGTACAACAAACTTGCAGACAGGTTGTGGGACTCATTACTAGAAAGAGTGAATAAGCGGGAGAAACAGGAGGCAGTCGGCCTCCTTCAAGGCTTGGAAACTGTGGGGGCAGTTCTTTCCTGTCCTATAGCGTCACTATGCGCTGGAATCTACTTGTCAGCAATGGGTTTTGAACTGCACGTTCAACCTACACCAATCTTGGGAAGTAGGGTGAGAAGGCAGAAGGTGGGGATGACAGAGTCACCATGGATCAGCATCGTTTCATCTACATTGGTGGTATCCGGGGTATTCGAAGAGGTTCTGGGCTCCTTGCTTCGGTTGTGTCCATTTAAGTCACCTTATTCTGTCATTTCGCACGCATACTGTTTACCGTGAGCAGCATTACACTCCAAACCCACTGGCATCCAGTTGATTCCGACACACAGCGACCCTACCAGGACGGAGTGGAACTGCCCCTGTGAGTTGTACTTTCCTGCCCCAAGGCTGTACTGTAGCGGACCCAAAAGGGATCTCACAGAGCAGCAGCAGCAGCAGCGAACAGGGAAGCTCTCGGTCCTGAACCCGCTGCTAGGTCCCACCCCATCCTGCCAGGTTTGCTAGCGGAGGAACAGCAGCTGCCTCGTCTGGAGGAACCGCATCCAGCCGTGAGAACATCATCGGAACGCCCGCCGCATCCTTCCCCCAGCTCTCCCCTCCGCAGCCCCGCGGAGCGCCCAGCCCGGCTCCGGCTCCGGGCGGCGGATCACGCTCGCCGCCCGGCGGCGTCAGCGAGGCTCACAATGCCCGCGCGCCACCGCCCCGCCCCGCCCCCGGCCCGCCGAGGCCCCGCCC